AAGGGTTCATTGTTCATGGTTGGTTTAGTGTATTTCTACTGGGTTGTGGCTCACCCTATATGGGAATATCATTTTCAGGTACAGGTAGCATGCCACCTCCAAGGACATAGCTTGGGAGGCTAGAGGCGGACATACTTTTGTCGTTTTATTTTTGATGTATTACATGTAAATTCAAGCCAAGGGCTTAATGTGTAAATGAGTTAGTATTCTTTTGTTGTAACCAAGTGTTAACTTGGAAAGCTGTAAGCCCATAGGACATTTTGCTTTTGTTGTTAACATGTAATACTTTTGTAATGAAACTCTGATGAATAGAAGAATGTGGTTATTTCATTTGTCAATGAATGTCTTATTTGATGTGTTTAATGTCATTATTTTTGAGGGCGTTACAAAATTGGGGAAAACATCGGAAGGTGTCAAAGTGATTAGATTAGATTCACTAATCTGTTATCTCAAACACACATACACACAGTAGATTTGGATTTTGATTTTGATGATCCTGAATTAATTCAATCCACCGATGAAGAATGTTCAAAATCAGAACACAACAACATGTGATCAATTGCAAAAAAAAAAAAAAAATATACTATTCTGGTCAACTGATCGAACATCCGAGGGACATCCGAGAGAAGGACTGAGTAAATCCAAAATTTAAAAACTCTGCAAAAGACGAAACGTGAAAGAGAAATATGTTTTGAAAACTTCATTCAAACATAAAAGAGAAAATTATTTTGAAATGTGTGATAAATTCACATTTTTAAAATTCCATCCAAACAATATAGGTAAGTAGAAAAGTGGAATCATAATTTTCAAACCACACCAATAGAGCACTTAAGGGTGGTTTGGGATGATCTAAAAAAGTGTATTTTTTGACTTTTTATGAAATATAGGTTGAGTATGGGTTGGGTTTGAAGTGATGTGGTAGAGAGGTAATGTGATTTAAATAAGATGATGTGACTTAAATAGGATAGTAACTTTTTAACTTTTTGTCTTTTTTCATAGATGCCAAACCAGCCCTTATTATCCTTTTGAGAATCAATCAGCTTGCTTGGTTGTGTTTTTCCAAAAGTACTTTTCAGAAAATTATATTTTCTTGTTTTCCGTATTTTTTTGTTTTTATTGAATTTTTTAAATATTTTAAGTAATTTTTTTTTTACTTTTTAGACATACCTAACATAAATATACTTAAAAAGTAAAAAATTTGTGGAAAAAATCTTTTAAAAATTCACTAAATATCAAAAATATAAAAAAAAATGAGAATTCAGTACATTTTTGTATTTTTATGTATTTATTAAAATTTTAAAATATTTTTTCGCAAATTTTTTATTTTTAGATACATTTAAATAAAGTACATCTAAAAAAATAAAAAAATATTTAAAATTTTAAAAATATTTACTAAAAATAAAAAATACGAATATTTAAAAATTAAAATTTTAAAAAATTTAATTCAAAAAACATAAACTAAGGCCTGGTTTGGCATAACCTATATAATCCATCTTTTTATCTTTTTTTCATCACATCACCTCTCTACTTTTCTGCACATCTTTTCGTAAAAAGACAAAAAGTACACTTTTTTAGGACACCCCAAACCAACCCTAAATACACTGAATAGTAATGAAGTATGACTGGTGAAAGGTGTGAGAGCACTTCTTATTTATTATTATTATTATCATTATTTTTGTTGATTTGTAACAGCATATGCCTGCAATTTCCAAGCACTGGCAAAGATCCTCATTTTCTGTGCCCAAAGAGTCAGAGAGACATGGTACAAAGCTTGTCCTCAACATCACAGGTGTGCTCATTCATTTGACATTTTCTATGCATAATAAAGTGCGGTTTTGAAAACAAAATAAAAAGTCACGTTTTTAAATAAAATATTTCAAAATATAAGTGCCAGAAACATAATAAATATGGTTTGGGAAGTGTCAAAAATATAAGTGTAAAATTATAAATTATGACTTATGAAAAAAAAATAAAAAACAAAATAAAAAGTCACGTTTTTAGATAAAATATTTCAAAATATAAGTGCCAGAAACATAATAAATATGGTTTGGGAAGTGTCAAAAATATAAGTGTAAAATTATAAATTAGGGCCTATGAAAAAAAATAAAAAAATAAAATTCTTATGTTGGATAAAGATATTTTGGTGATTTTAATTTGATTTAACACCATAAATAAATATTAAACTAAAAAGCAAAAAGTCAGCTTTTTATCAACTTCCCAAATCACTTTCCAAAAAATTAAAAAATTTAATAAAAAGTTAAAAACCAACTTTTTATCAACTCCCCAAAACACTCCAAAGTTACATGTATGTAGGATTTGTTTGGCTTTAACTTTTTTGACCAAAAAAAATATAAAAGATAAAAGTCTTTATTTGGTGAAGTTTTTTAAGTTAAAAGTTAATAATTAAAAAGTAGAAATTAAAATTATTCTTATTTCAACTTTTAAATAATTAATTTTTTTAGTTTATTTAAACTATTTCTACTTAATAAGGGATTGTTTGGGATGTTCTAAATAAGTGTACTTTTAAATTTTTTATGAAATATGGGTTGGGTATGAGTTGAATTTGAAGTGATGTGGTAGAGAGTGATGTGATTTAAATAAGATAATGTGACTTAAATAGGATAACGACTTTTTGACTTTTTAACTTTTTTAGGAGATGACAAACCTGGCCTAAGTTATAAGTAGAAGTTATACTAAATAGTTTGCCAAAATCAAAATAAGTTATAATCACTTCAAAAAATTGTAACAAATAGTCCCAAAATAGATTGGCTTCGTTTGGGAACAGATTATTTTGATAATTTTTTAACTTTTTACAAAAATACATACAAAAAAATATAGAGAATGATGTGACAATTTATAGTGACTTTTTGACTTTTTAGCTAAAACTGAAGGTTGCCAAACAAGATCGAAATAAATTACTAAGACAAAATATCATATTCAAATCATAATCATTTTACTTTTTCTCTCACAAAAATAAAAAAAATAAAAAAGTCAAACCAAACAAACTTTTAATTCCGGTCTAAAATAACAAAAAAAACTAAAAACCTAACTAAAAAACAACACAACATAAAGTTCCTCTGCCTCATAAATATTATTAATGAACTCAAACAAGTAAAAATATTCTAATTTTTTCAAGAAATAGTGTTATATAAATTTTTTTTTAAAAAAAATTATCTTTGTGTTTTATATTTTCAAAAATGTCTTTATCATATTAGTCTAATATAAAATTTATATTTGTGAATAGTTTTTATTTTTTAAAATCATTTAAGTAACTCCTAACCTTTGTCATGTGAGTTAACCCCACGAGTGCTTTTAGTTTTTTTTGGTTTGAAGATCATGGTTTTTATTTATTTTTATTTTATGTTAGGGGTGTTTTTGTTTTTTTATTTATTTATTATTATTTTTTCTAGGTGTTGAATCTCAATGTCAAATTAAGTTAAGCCTATTGTCTTGGGCTTGGGCTTCAAGATTGGAAGCTGGGTTCAAAATTTGGGCCACAGCTCAACCATTTTGTCTAATGTTGCTTCTTTTATTTTTGTGTGTCGCTATAGATTTACTTTTAAAAGAAATCTAATAAGACAAATCCAAAATTTCAATTTGTTAAAAAAAAGGAGCACTAAATACAAAATTATATATTATTTTTTTTTACTTTAGTATTTTTTTAAAAAAATTCTTCTAAACTAAATGGATCTAAAAAAAAAAACTTTTGGCCAAAGAAAAAAAAAACTAAAGAAAATACATATAATTTTTTTAAAACTTTTGTAAACAAAACTTACATTTTGTTTATTTGTGTGAAAAACAATTTTTGTATTTTCTAATATTTATTACAATAAAATGCAGAAGTCAATTGAAAATATTTTTTTATAATTAACGAAAAATAACCATATTTTAAATTAAAAATATTTTTTCATTTTTAAAAGATAGTAAATATTTTTTTAACTAAAATTTTATCAATATTACTATATTATCACTGTTTGACTTCTACCATCACCATCACCGTGACTATCATCACCCTCGCTACCACCTTACCACCATCCCATCACTTTCATTTTCCCTTTCGTTTCTCCACCATCAAACGTTAAAATAAAAATAAAAAAATTTCTAAAAATATATTTTTTAAAAAAGAAAAATTGACATATTATTGAAGTACGACCCCAAAAAATTGCTATTATAGGATGAAAGTACAAAGTTGTAACCCTACTCCCTTAGATAGTACATAGCATAAAACCGCCGTCAACTCCTCCGTTATCTCCACTGTGACATGCTAAACATGGCGGCGACAATTAAACACGCATTCAACGCACCAAAAAACTTAAATTACACACAAAAAAAAAAAAAAATATTATTTTTATTTTTATTTTTATTTAAAAAAAAATGCCCCAGAAAAGTGGACAAAAAAGAGGGAGAGAGTAAATACCCACGCGTGTACACACGAGCGTGAGGAGCATCAGCATATTCCAACCCCACCTCAAAACATCAACCGTTGATCCTCCTAAATATCTTCATTGGATAAGAATTTTTCATTTGATAAGAATTTGGAAAGAAATTTAGAAATAAAAAATAAAAAAATATATAAAATTAAATGAAATGTAAATATATTTTATTTATATTTTATTTACATATATATATTTTTTTAAATCTTTTTTTAAATCTTATAATCAAATACAACATTAAAAAAAATTATTAATTAATCTAAAAATATCATGTATCATACCTCTTATTAATTATAATTTATTATTTTATTTATATTTTTCAATCACACAACCTAAATTTTTAAGCCACACTCGTCCACCAATCAAAAGACCGTTAAAGTAAACCCACCAATAATTTTTTCTTCATCAAGCGGCTGCGTACACCCCGATATCGTACACTCTAGACACACGCCGACATTTCTCTTTCCACTTTCAGTACAAGCCTCAAACCGAAGCTAAGCCTCGGCCCCGCACCTAGAGCCGTGAGCCGAACCTGGACTGTTTGCTTCTTATAGTTCGTTGAAAAAATATATATTTTCACTGTTTCGATCCCTTTATCTTCGGTCTGGTCTGAAAACCATCTTTCTCTCGCTCATCGTTTTCCACAGAGAGAGAGAGAGAGAAAGAGAGAGTAGTGTAGATAGATAGATAGAGAGAGAGAGAGAGCTCTATAGAGAGAGAAAGTGAAGCATTTGATACAAAACAACTCAGACAATTTACAGTCTGATCTTCATAGAAACGAACCTTCGCAGTAAGTTTCACTCTCTCTCTCTCTCTCTCTCTCTCTCTCTCTTCAACAATCTCAATTCTCTCTCTCTCTCTCTCCCCTCAGATCACACTCGAAAACCTACCATTTCACCTCTTGATGCTTCGTATGCTTCTTTGGTTTGCTTACAATCTCTGTCTCAGCTTTGTTTCAGCTCACTTGTGTTCAACAACCACTAATTCAACTTACAATTGTGTGTTTCGTTGCTATTATTTCCTTCAATTTGGTCTTTAATTGTTGTTTCCTGGTACTTAATTGGTTTTTCTGTGGAATTGTAGCTTGAGCACTTGTTTGGTTGGTAGTGTTTTGTTTTTCTTTTTAGGGTTTTTTGGTTGGAGGGTTTTGGGTTTTGCCCTAAAAATTTTCAAATGCATGTGAAATCTGAGCTTGAGAAAATGTTTTTTGTAATTATTGATGCCAGTGTTGGTCTTGGAATTAATTTCACTATTTTTGGTGATATAGAGTTGTCTTAATAATTTTTTTCTTTAATTGGCGTACTCTGTTTTTTTAGTAAGTTTTTTGCACTTAATTTTGGCTTCTACTTCTCAAATTAACTTAAGGTTGTTAAATTGTTGTCAAATTTCAGTAATTGCCGTCAATTTAGTTGCTATTGATACGAACTTGTACAAGCATAAAATTCACTGTTTGGTTTGGTTGTTCAGAATTCATAAGAGGAAATACAATCTGGAGTCTTTATAATGGTTCCCCTAATGCATATTATTTTTAGGGTTTGAAGTTCACATTCCTTATGTTTTCTTGGCAATCTGATGGAGAATATGCTAAAGATAAAGAACATGCATGCAATAATTAACTTTGAAGTGCGCGCCTCAGAGACATTTTTCAGGTTTGCAGATGGATGGCTCTTTGAATTCCTTAGTCATGCTATATGAACGAAAGTGAAATAGATGTAGTAATGGAGCCTATATTAATTTTGTATGATGAGAGGCATGAACCTTCTAGAGCTTGACTTTATTTTACCATATTGTATCATATAAGAGCAGAAAAATTAAACCTTGTGGAGTATTTTTTTTTTCATTGTGTGTGTGTGTGCATGTTTTGGAATGTATTTATGATTTATTATAGAACAAAATGTTATTGCGTATAAGAGTGCTTTAAAATTTGTTTAATATGATTGTGATATATTTCATATTTAATTGGACCACGAGAAAATATAATAGGCTTTCAAGTGCTGTAATTTGTGTTTCCTTAAGATTTTATGTATTAAACAGTTTTTTCTGTTCTGTTTTTGAGCTGATTCCCATGTCTTTCAGGGTTGACTGGAAAAGAAGTTGCAGAAAGGATCTATTATTTCCTCGAGGAAGGCAACTTTCCAGGGTGAGCTTCAATCTGAAGCTATAAGTTGGATCTCATCAGTGCTCTATAACAACAGTGGTGTGGAAATCAGTGACAGATCGGAACTGAGTTTCAATCTGGAAAATTACGACTTAGAGAAATCAGGTATCAGTAATTCTGACTACTTGAGATTCTCTTTCATGCTGCACATGTCCTCCATAAGAGTCCTGTGAAGGAAGTGAAAAGGGCACTTTGTTGTTTTCAAGAAGCAGATAGTCCTAGCATTTTTATAGACCTTTTATTATGAGACAGAATATAATATCTGTTTTGGTATATGCAGATTCTAGAAAAGGATATGGCTACAAGTCTTTGCAAGGACCATTAAATTAGAACTTCATACCGTCAATTCTAGATCCCAAATTTGCCAGAAACTAATAGCTTTCCCTAATGGCTTTATGCATTGACCGAAGAACTTTTCAGACAAAACATAATCAAGTAGATTTTGTGGGAGACCATACTTGATCTGATTGCTTGATTATCATTGAAGGCTTTGTTTTGTGATTTAGCTAGGAAGCGTCCCAGCCACATTTCTACTCTGACAATAATATTTGTATAGGTTAGAAAACTGTAGAAGCTCCCAGTGCTTAGAACATTCTTGTTTGGCGGCCACAGCTGCTTGTCTGGTGCTAACAACCCTGTATGCAACAACCTCAGCCAAGGCAGCAGCCTGGGTTTATCGACATGCAGATGTTGCAGCAACACATTATGCTAAAGCAGTTGCAAGAACTTCAACGGCACCAGCAACTTCAGGAGTTAGGTGATGGAAGGCAGCAGAACTATTTAAACCAGCTATCTGGAATGAATAAGCAGGCTGCTGGGGGTCAATTTTTGCCCCCGATTAATGGAACACCTATTCATGATTCATCACAGACGTTTATGGTTGATAACATGAACTTGGTGGAGCGTGGTGCACCACCATCTATCCAAGGATTTTCAAATGGATTCTGTTCACAGGCTCAAAGTCAGGATCTGTGTTCGGTGAGTCCGGTGCCTCAACAGCTTGAAGTATCTTTATATGGAACCCCTATTGCAAGTGGAAGAAATAATTTGAATCAATACTCTCATCTCCAAGGGTTATCTCACGACTCCGCCAATGTGTTGACCAAGGGTAGTGATAATCAGGCAGAGAAACCTACAATGCAGCCATCAGACTTCAGTAACTCCTTTCTGAGTGAAAACTGCAGTGTTTCTTCAGACCAGCTTTGCATGCCAGATGGAGCTTTCCTATCCAAACAGTTTTTTGATGCGAAGAACTTGCTTGGGCAAGTTCCAATTCAAGGTTTTAGTGGTGGAATTCTACCTGAGAACTTCCAGCAGATGAATGCCTTGCAAAGGAATGCATCAACAAAGGACGGGAGGCAAGAGCAAGCTGGTTATCCTGAACAGTTTCCAGGAAAGACAACACAGATCGACCCTTCTCAGGGTTTGACTACCCTAGATCCACTGGAACAGAAAATTTTGTTCAATATGGATGACAACAGTTGGAATGCTTCTCTAGGCAGCAACACTGACATAGGCACAGGGAGCTTTGGGAATACATTGGAATGTGCAGATTATTTAAGCTCTTTTCCTTCCATTCAAAGTGGGAGCTGGAGTGCTCTGATGCAGTCTGCTGTTGCAGAAGCTTCTAGCAGTGATACTGGGTTACAAGAAGAGTGGAGCGGCCTGAGTTTTCAGAACACAGAACTGTCAAATGACCATCAGCCCTCAAATTTTTTGGAGAGTAGAAAGCAACAAACTGGTTGGGTTGATAACAATATGCAGATTGCCTCTCTACATTGTAAACCTCAACTTCTATTTGATGATTCCAATATGAGCTCTGGCTTCCCTGGGTTCCAGCAATCAGGCATCCAGTTCTCAGCCATACAGAGAGAAGCGATGCGTTCTGATTCCTCACATGAATCTGTGCAGCAGTCTCCTAAAATTGCTGCCAAGTGGTTAGATTGTAATGCTCAACAGAATCAACCCATTGAGGGAAGTCAACCAATTCATATAATCCAACCTTTGGAAAATGCATGGCCTGGTCAAAATTTTGAGCATTCAGAAGGCAATGCACGGCAGCAGAGCATATCCTCGTATAAAAATAGTCACCAACGTGGCGATAAACTAATAGGAAGCAAGATGGAATCTTCCTCACCTAGTGGAAATGTCACATTGAATGTTTGCAACAATGAGAAACAACAGAGCTGCTACCAAAGAGAGAAATCTAATGACAGCTATCACTCCAGTGCATCCCAGCATACTATCACAGAAGATGACGTGAGAGAGAACATGTGGCTACATGAAAGTGATTCACAACCTGTGGCACGGGGTAACCGAAAGTCATCTGATCAGGTTTGTCTGAAAGCTTTTTCCTCTGCAGGTTTCTCTATCATCCAGTGGGAAATTTAGTGGTGAATACTGATACTGCAGAACATGTTATGCTTTCACAGGTTCTGTGCCGACAAGTCTCCCAAGGATCAAGCAATCACGAGCAAGGATATTTTGCACAGTTCAAGTTTGTTGGTGATGTTTCTAGAAGTGCTGTAGAGTTGGAAAAGGTGAATAATTGTTATTACATTCATCAAGTTCAGTTCTTACAGTTTGTGCTTGCAATATTTGTGATCAGTTAGATTCTTGGTTGTCTTTTTATAGGGATGCTTGCCTGATATTCAAAGGAACTCAAAAGCATCAGAGGAGGTACCTCCTAGGGGCATTGTTGGAGCTAATGTATCTGCCTCCAGTGATAGCTCAGTTGGATACGGTCCAAATCGAACTTCTCAGACAAGGTAGTTATTATATGTCATACTGTTCTCTGTAAGACAGTATCAGAAATGCATGAATCTCTTAGCTGTTTGATTGCTTACAAGGATTATTATGCATTGGAAATGCATTTGTACCATTTTTTTTTCCTTTTCAGCTGACGGATCTTATGGGCCTTCTCTATTGTCTTCTTGTTTCATGTTAACTGGTTGTTGTTTCTGGACACATTGCCTCTCACTTTTGTGTCTTGTATCTGATGGAAGCTTTCACTAATTTTAACCATGGCAGTCAAAATATGCTTGAGCTTCTTCACAAAGTTGATCATGGCAGGGAACAAAGAACTGTAACACACTTAAGTACTACCGACTCTTGTCCATTATTGGAGGTGCCAGAAGCAAAAACTCCTGAGGCATTTATGGCTAAATCATATGATCAATCTTTCATTTCACCACGCTTTGGCTTAAGGTTGGCTCCTCCGTCTCAACGGCTGCCTAATTCAAGCAGTTTTTTCTCATTGCAGAGCTCTCCACAATCGGTGAGTAGTGCAAGTCTTGGGCACATATATTTATATATATATATATATATATTCATTTAGGAGATAAGGGGCAGAGCTTGATAGTATAGTCATTCTCTTTCACATGAATCTTGTCAAAGAAAATATTTGGATGGTGAATCAATTATTTCTGGACAAAATCATATTGAAGCCTCACATTTGAATATGCAGGGAAACTCTACTGCAACATCCCCTACAGGCCCTTTTAATCTAAGAAATCAGCTTCAATCTCCACAGGCAACATTGCCTGATATGGCAAGAAGACTTCCACAATTTAATTGTGCTACTTCTCCAACATCAAGCTTGTCTGAACAAGTCGGATCTTCAACAAGGCCGCCCAGTGTATGGAGAAATTTACCGACTCAACCACATCTATCTGTCACAGAACTTCACGAGCTTCCCTCTGATTTGCTTTTGTCTGCCGATTCAACAAATACCAATCTCCAGACTCCTTCATGGGCTACACATGGTCAAAATTCCTACAAAGGAACTGAATCTCGGGATTTGGGTGCATGTTCCATGAATTCACAAGGCTTTGAATATGGGGAAGAACACCCTGAGAAGGAAAGGTCACAGCAGCAAATTTCTTCAGAAATAGTAGACCAAGCTTCACAGATGGGGGGATTATTTCATGGGCAAGAATCTGTGGCAAAGCATCTCTCAGAACCAAATGCTGTTGGCTCTGGCTCTTTGATGGCTCGTCCTTACCAGAACTTTAATAGTGCATGGCATGGTGATAAACAAGCGTCAGCTGTTTCTGCAAGAGACCTTGAAGCCTTTGGACGTTCTTTGAAACCATCTAATCTTCATCCGAGTTATTCCCTATTGCATCAAGTGCATTCTCTGACCAATATGGAGACTGATCCAAGTAGGAGGGTTTCAGACAAAAATCACACAGCTGGTTCTGATCTGAATGTTCAGCAGGTAACTGCTGTTGCAGGACATCAGATGATGTATGGACATAATTCAGCTTCACGGCTCAATTCATTTCCAACTAGGGATGTTAAAATGCTAAGCTTCTCATCAGAGGCGGGAGATGATCAGTCTGTCAAAGCTTTGTCTCTACCTCTTCAAGATACCCCACAGGAAATGGCCACACATGATCAAAGTTATTTGAGTGATTTGGCATTTAATAGAACAGAACATTCCCAGATTAATGTGCAAATGGCACCTTCCTGGTTTAAGCATTTTGGAACCTTGAAAAATGGGCAGATGTTGCCAATGTATGACGCTAGGACTGCAAATAATTCTGTACAGCAGTTTCCTCTTGGGAGGCCTTTTGAGAATTTGCACATGAATACTTCCGTGGTCCAAGTAAATGTTCCTGGTCCCAGTCAGGTTAGCAGCGTGTGGCCAACTACAGCCACCACTTTGGCAGTGGGTACACTATCACCCCCTTTTGTGCTGTCTAAAGATGCCAGTGATCATAATTTCTGTGTTACGACATCAAAGAAACGTAAAATTGCAGCATCTGAGCTTCTACCATGGCACAAGGAAGTGACACAAAGTTCTAAGAGGCTTCCAACCATCAGGTGTTTGCCATGATTAGCATATTTCGTTGGATCACTGTCTTACATTTTTGTTTCAATAAATCAAAAGCACCATTCTTCTCAGTTTAGTTGCTGAAAAGACAGATCAAGAGGAAATAATTATTTTATTTTATTTTATTTTGCATTTCTTTAGAAGAAAACAGCTTCTTCTCTTTGTCAACTCACTTCCCATTGGATCTTTTTTCATCATTTTGAATTTTCTATTGAAGGCTTGAGGTGATGTTCAATGTATTTTAATTTGTTTTTTGTTTTTGCAGTTCGGCAGAACTAGAATGGGTACAAGCTGCAAATCGGCTTGTTGAAAAGGTGTGTTCTTAGTTGGGTTGGTCAGAATAATGAAAACTAATTTTTAAAACATTCAACTGGTTAATTACAAGCTTCAAAAGTGGTTTCTAAGTGCTACTTCTATTGGCAGGTGGAAAATGAGGCTGAAATGATTGAAGATTTGCAGCTATTGCTTCGACCAAAGAAACGGCTTGTCCTTACAACACAGCTTATGCAACAGATGTTTAGGCCTGCACCGGCAGCCATTCTCTCTGCAGATGCTACTTCAAACTGTGACAGTGTGGCCTACTTTGCCGCTAAGCTGGCGTTAGGTGATGCATGCAATTTGATCTATTGCTCAGGAAATGATTCGTGTCTCTTGTCGAATGACAATGACGTGTAAGAGTTGCTTTCATCTTAACTGTTATTTTTCTTCGTATTAAATTCCATTCAGCTGAACTTCACAAAGAAAGAAGATAAATCTCTTATCTAGGTGCCTGCTGTTTATTGATTTTTATATCTATACTTCAGAGAGAATGTTGACTCTTCAAACAAATCTCTATTAAAATTTGTTTAGGATGTCTGAGAAGCCCAAAACTTCTGAGAGAATTGATGAGCAGTATTTCTCAAAAATTGTGGAAGACTTCAGCAGCCGAGCAATGAAGCTGGAAAGCGACTTGTTCAGGTATGAATCAAGTTTTCCATTCATGAAAACAATTTTTAGAAACTATTGTCTTGTATCAATTGGAAGATCAAGTATGCTACAGAGACCTGTACATGAAAATGTACCCTACACATGCAGCTTACCAAACCGTATTTTGTGCTCATCATAGAACTTACCATGTGTTTCATCATTTTTTTCTTTTGTTTTGATTCGTTACTACCAATCAGTATACATGGCATGGGTTACATAAATTTACCCATGAAACCAAAATTAGAGCTGAGTAGCCAAATGCAACAAGACAGCATCAATTTGTGATGCAGATTAAACAAGACAGCATCAATTGTAGACATAAGAGTGGAATACCAGGAAATAGAGAAGTTCTCTGTCATCAACCGTTTTGCGAAGTTCCACTGCCGGGGGCAATCAGATGCAGCAGAGACCTCATCATCGGGTGGCACAACTCCAACTGCACTGAAATCATGTCCACAAAGATATGTCACTGCATTTCCCATGCCTAGGACAGTGCCTGAAGGAGCACCATGTCTTTCACTTTGATCACTGATGATCAATCACTTCACCCCTTGCATGCCCCTTCGATCCATACTCTGTTTTCCGTTGCCTCTGTCTGTTGCAGCCTGTAGTCTTTTTTCAATAACCTCAATGCCGGTGCACAAGAAAACCAATGAAAAGGGCACCCCCAAAAAAAAAAGAAAAAAAAAGGGGAAATTTTGGGGAAGGTGAACTGCTAGAAATTGAAGCCGTTTGATCTTTTTGATCAAGCCCGGTTGTTGTCAATTTTGAGGAAGTATATATTGTTCTTAATATATTTTCATGAGAATTTAAGGAGATTCATGGAGTAACCCAATCATCTTTCCTAGGGTTGTTACATTAATCAACTAAATTTACATGTATTTCATATGAATTTCTGGTAGCTGTGGCTTTGCAGCCATTCTTCTTCTTCTTCCTTTTTTTCCAGGGTTGGTAGAAGAGTTGGCATCATGAAGAAAAACAGGATAATTGGCAACTAAATGAGGCACGGTTTCAGAGGTACCCTTTGGCTCTATTTGATAGCAATGTCGTTTAAAAAAGAATCTGTCTACTAATGAGCATCTTAAATGTATTGGTTAATAAAGCATTTGAGGGTTGTACATTCTTCAACTATCCATTTTTATTGGGGAATGTTCAACCAGTTTAAGCCTATTATGGAGTGCTGTATGAGCACTACTAAGAAATGCCTCCAGTGACAGTTACCCTCTGCTCTAGCATTCTTCTTGGTGGAGTTTTGTTTACTAAATGCAGGTGGTTTTAAATCATAATTTCCGAACCCAGTAGTTTGAAACTTATTTTCCAAACTCAGGATGTTTCATGAAGTTTTTTTAAGCAACTATAGTTGTGTTTTGAATCATGACTTTATAAAATAACTTGAGTTTGGAAAATATGTTTAAAACTGCTTCATTTGAAAATTCAATTTCCAAACATTTGCATTTGGTAAAAAAAAACCTTGGACTGTATATAAATTATTGGCGAAGCTTCTAGAACTCCACAACTGATATTGGGGTTTTGTTTGGTGAAGTTTTGTACTGTGTCTATTTGTTGGTTTTTTTTTTTCTGACTAAAGCACTTTATTGTAAGGGGGGACAAAAGGTCCCTGACAAAGATCTCATGTTTACTAGTAACTACTAAAATTCTATTGTTTGTTTTGTTTATTCTGATTAAAAGTACAAAGTTTTCAGACAATGATTCTGTGGCCCTTATTTATTAATGTCATCATAAAATCAAGTAGGATAAGATGGATGGGGAGATTGAAAGAAAGACAAAAGGAGAGACTTATTGCAGAGGACCCAAAAAGCTTTTTATTTTGGTTGGAACGATTGAATTGATTCTCCTGTACCTCAATTGTCTGTTTCCATTAAGACTTTTGTTTTCTAATAAAATAAAAAAAAAAAAAAAAAAAAAAAACAAATTGACTAGAAGTGTAACTGACGTCAGTATTGTTCTTAGATTGAGATGCCATTAAATAACTAACTAAACTAACCGACTTGTGATGTCCACCACCACCATCACCCTGTCAGCATCATCAGAATCTATATCAGTTGTCTGATTGAGAAGGTGTGATGATGAGAGCAACACAGATTCGTTTGAATTGCCCCCTTCATAAAGAAGAATGAAACAAAACAAAACAAAAAAAAGGAAGATAGTCAATTCTCTCTATGAAAAAGCATAAAATAATGAGTGGGGTTGATTTTATATATATACATATCCTAAAGAAGATTTTTTGCTGACAACACGGAGGCTTTTTGTGGTTGGGTTGGGTGGGACACAAAAATCCCCATGCTCTCAATGTCCACGTGGGGTGGTGGTGGTTTTTATTGAGAGATTTTTGGATTTTTTTGTTCTTTACTTTATCACATAAATACATGTAGTTGTTTTCTATACTGGGTGGTCCTAAAAGATATTTCGCAACTTGGTAGTGGTATTTGGTTGTATATATATGGAGAGAGAGAGAGAGAGTGGATAGGTTTTTAATCAACCGCCAACGCGCGAGTGTCTTGGAAAATAACTTTGGATATACTTTTGTTGGATTTGAACTTTAGAATGGTCAATTACAAAAAATTATGGTGCTGATGTGTCAGCTTGTTTCATTGTTGGACAGGAATGGATTCGCTTTCTTAATACCATAGGATTTCCCATCTTTGAATGTGCGTCTCATTGGTAAAAGAATCTCATTCCCAAGTGTTTGAAAAAATTCAATAATTTTATGTAGAATTTTTTTTTTTTTTTTTTTAATCTCAATGTCTAGTTTGACTTTTTCGTGGATGGGAATGTGAGATTGGGATCAAACTCCCTCTTGGTTTAGGAAATTGATTTATCAGAAATGAAAAATTAAGAATTATGAAACTTGGAATCATATTTTTATTCTCCCTCAAGATCATTGTCATTCTAACATAATCTATGAATAAATTTATGTCACAAAATTAGAACATATTGTCATTCAAACATAATCTATGAATAAATTTATGTCACAAAATTAGAACATAATGACAAGAAAAATCAATCATAAACGAAACAAAGTACTTTATAGATAAACTCAATCACACAGTATGGAACCCATCTGGGTTGTTTTCCCTCCCTCCATTCCCCTATTCTGACTGATATACTCTTTCCACTGCTGATTCACCAGCCTATGAGATTGCCTGCATCTCTCAAAAACTTGCTATGGAAGACTCATTCCTGTTAAAAGCCAAAGCTTTCGAAAACAAAAACAACTAAAAGCTCAAAAAATTCTTGCTGATTTTATATTGCTTCTGTTTTTGTGAGAAAATTATTTTCAAAAATTAAATTTTTTTATAGTGTTTCCTAAAAAGTTCGATAAATGATTATGTAAATATAGTGCATACTAAAATCTAGTACTTAAGGCCATGTTTTCGCAACTTGAGTGACCGAATTATCATGGTTGTGGGTTTCACCCCACAGCGTGTTTGGTAGTGAAATATGAGAGCAGATTGATAGTCTAAAGGGCTTAGTAATCCCCCTCACTAGGAGGATTAGCTTGGTTGGGTTTTGAGTGGAATTAAAAAAATAGTAAGGGGATTGAGTTTATTTTATATAAAAAAATAATAATTTTTTTATCAAGTGCATCTGTTTGTTTTAATATTTGTTTTAGTTTTTTTTAATATAAAAATAATTTATTTATTTATTTTTTATAAAAATAATTTAATAATTTCATCACTAACCATCTTCTATACTATCATCAAAATAAACACACTTTTACTTATTTCTCCTAACTAATAATCCCCATATTAACAATCTCTTTACTAATTATCTTCTCACTAATAATCTCATCTAACTTAATCCCCAAACAAACGTGACCTAAAGGCCTTGTTTGTTTAGGTTGAGTAGGACTATGAGTGCTGGTGGAACTAAGTGACGGGAGTTAATAGTGTAATAGTATTAAGTTGGAAGTGTAAAATAAATTTTGTTTGTTTGTATAATAATATGATAGTATTAGTTTGGTGGAATTAAATTTATGAATTTATGTAAAAATTCTCAATATATATATATAAACTTTATTATTTTTATAAAATAGGAGTATAATAATATTTTCACAGTGAATTCAAGGAGAGGTAATAGAAGAGTACTTTTGGTCGCGTTTGGTAGAGTTTTATAATTATGATTTGAGAGTATGAGTTGTGTTTTGAGTTTATGGGATTTGTAATTATGATTTGAGTGTAGAAAATTTGTTTGGTAAAGAGTTTTGAAAAGAATTTTGATTTGAGTCAGGAATTATTGATGTGACATTTGATAGTTGATACAAAAATTTACAACTCATAACTAAACATACAACTCAAAATTATTTTAAAGCACATAAAAAATTTTAAAAATTTCAGAAAATATTTTTTTTGGATTATATAAAAATTAACATATAAATTGCAAAAAAAAAAAATCACTATTTCGGTCAACCGGCCGGACGACCGGTCAGGCAAAATTTTCAAAAAAAAAATTCTGAAAAGCGCGGCTGAGACAAAGCTCTCTGCAGAGTTTCGGAAACGTGATTCCAAAACTCCTACCAAACACCATACTTGAATCAAGGTGCAGAATTATGATTTGAAAACACAATCAAACACAATTATTACTCACTTGTAGATGCTATCCAACAGTCGTAGGTTGCTCGCACTTTTTCTTTTTATTTTTATAAAAATAGTTCTCAAAAATTCAAATGCAACTTTTTAGTATGTTCTAAAATGGATTGTTTTCAAACAATTTTCCTTATAACAGTTTTGGGAAACAGTTTGCTAAGTAATTATTCTATATTTTTTGGGAAATAAAACATAAAACATAAACATAACCAAAGAGACCTCTAGGTTTTTTCTTTTTTTGGTCATTTACAGGCAGCCCACAAGTCACATGAGCGCATGAAAGCCCAACAGTTCTTGAGCAAACCCAGGCCCAGGAACCAACTAGCCATTGGGCCTTGAAGTTCCTACGAAGGGCCTTCTCCAAGGGTGACACCACTTTGGACTGGTTAATAACCCAAATGATTTGAAGTTCAATTTCTCTCAGATTCAAATATGAACTTTAAGCCTTCATAGAGCTCATTATGGATCATATTTTGTTTATTTAAACCATTCATTTTATAACGTATATCATCTCTAAAAAAAACTAAATCAATCTAATAATTATAACATTTTTATTTTATTATTTTTGTCTAAAAAAAAAAGTTTATTTTCAAAATAAACTTTTTGTCTATTTTTTCAAAGACATAATAAAATAAAAAGATTACATTGAATCGATTTATTTATATAAATTTGTAAATGATACATAGAAAAATTTATAAAATAAAAACAGAACCCATAATAAACACTACAAATTTATTTGCAAGCCTTGGCAAATAAGGATATTATTTTAACGGAACAAGTATTTGGCGGAAGTAATGGTATGTATTCGGCTTAAATTTTTTCTTCAATTTTCCTCACTAAAATTTTGAAAACGTTATTTTCACCTATAATTTTATAATTTTCTTTGATTTAGTCGCAAGAATGCACTGATTGATGAGGAAAAATAAAGGGTACAAACAATGGGCGGATACATTAATAGAGATATGGAATGATTGGAAATATATATATATATATATATATTTGGTTTTAAATTTTTTCCTTCACTAACACTTAAAAAATGTTATTCATGCCTATTATTATTTTATAATTTTTTTGATTTGCCCTTCTAGATTTCTAGAAAATATCATTTCAATCTGTAGTTTTATATACTTGTCCATCTAATTTTGCTTTTGCCCCTCTAGGATTTTCCACACTAAAAATATATATTTTTCTATATTTTGGTGCATGTTTTTTGCCTCAAGGGATAAAAAATCCTGGCTCCGTCCCTAAAACAAATTCATCTGGTTTCCATCGATATAGATTGGAAACAAACATGCATGGAAGGATAGGAATGTACCATGGAAATTATCTCCCTTGTCATGCCTGGGAAACATGAGGAGTTCATAAAAGAGATAAACGAATCCGAGTGCAACAAAGCTCACTTAATTGCACTATTGCTGATCAGAACCCTCAGTCGGGCCATGGAAGTTGGAGAGAAGATGAGAATCAAGCGAGCAGCCTTCTCGGCTCTTCCAGCTGCTGCCCTGTTAGTCTTACAATGATGCAAAGGGAATAC